AATGGAAATCACCGCCGCGAACCGCGCCGGCGTCGGCCTCGAGACGGCGGCGGTGCGCATTCCCGCCGCCCCGCCTCCCGCCCCGCTCCTGCCGGCAGTCGTCTACCACGCAGGGACTCGCCACTACGAACTCAGGTAATGCAGAGTCATATCTTTAAAATATTTCTTAAAAATTGTACTTTCTCGCCCCCGGGCTAGTACAGTGGTAGCGTGTTCGCGCCCTGCCCAAGTACGAGAAGCTGGTGGTTACTGCTGTGTCTGGGCACCACGGGGATCAAGGACCAAACTCAGTCGAGTCAGCACACTGACACACTCTAATCAAGTCGGCATTAGTCGGCACAGGCTGGGCTCTTCATAGGCACAGCCTGGGCGAGTTTCAGTTTCGTATATTTGGCTTATCCTTATCCTTGTACTTTCTGTAGGAACCACTTGATGTGATTAGCCTATGTAATAAACTACTCTTCCTGCATGAGGAATGATAATCGTTATTTCCTTCAAGTCCTTTGGACTTCTTTTAAAACGAGTGCTGTAAATCATAAAGAAGGGACTGTGAGTGTTTTTTTTCTCTCTCTGTGTGAAGGAAGGCTTCATTCTTTTCTCGGATTCGAGAGATTGTTTCTTGATATCTGAATATTCATCTCGAAGTATGTTCTTCGTTATACTCACCATTAATGTAATTCTCTATTCTGTCATCACATAGGAAGGACTATTTACTTGACTCAATCTATCTGTGCAATCATCAGGTGGCCGGCAGAAGAGAACCTCACCTACACGGCCTACGTCTGCACCGACGGCCTGCCTTCCAGCGCGCCGTGCAAGGTGGGACCGCCGCCGAGGTTTCTCGTCTGGACAGGTCTTCCTCTTAACTCCCTCCTTCCTTTGCTTTGTGTATTTTATTATCCTCAAGGGGAATACAGAGTACAACTTAATCTTTTGACTTTAGTCATCAATTCCGTTTTCTTCAGTATGAGATTACTATAAATATAAAAAAGCTGGGTTCTTCATGGCTAAAAATAGTATGTGTCCCTGAGTTAACTGCAAACATCAGCCGTGTAAGGGATAGATTTTAGCATATGTAGTCTCACTTGAAGTGCTATTAAAACTGTGTCATATTTAAACGATTTTGGAGAGCTGAAAATGTCTTGAAGATTCAGTCAAAAACTAAGACAGTAGTCTGTGGATTTTTCTTCCTCCAATGCTCTCCAATAAGTAATATATTTTTTAAGCAGTAAAAACTATGCATTGGTATGTATTTCCACACACCCAGACTGTGAATTGATAGAAACATATCTTTAATTTCTCAGAACAATTTGTACTGGAAGAACTTGGGTTCAGCATCAGCGGTGAACCTTACTTTGGAGGAGTTGAACGTGACTGACTCCCTGACTCCTGACAAGGTTCGCTTCGCGCTGTCAGCTGAGACCTTCGCCGAGGACTCCAGCGGCATGGCCTGGGACAGCTGCGTCCATCCCCAGCAGTACAACACGCAGCATTCCGCGCCCGAAATCTTCCCAGACTAGTGAGCAATGTGGAACTGTTTGGTTTTGTGTTAGTCTTACGTTGTGCTTTGAAGTGTTCTACACACATACAGTATGGATTTTAAGAATATTTCTATCACCAATCAGCTCGCCAGAACTTGTTATCTGACAAATGAATGTTATTCATAACCCGAAATTCTCTAATAGTGTTTATAATCTTTATTAGTAGCTACATACCCCTTGTTGCACATTCTGTTGTCCATAAACACAGCTTCAAGCCTTGATCTAAGATGCATCTTGCTCGATTTTTTTGTTTTGAAATTAATTTTGTTCTATTTGATTACCATATATATAGAGATAGATGACCTAACACCCTTGACCGCTCTTTTCAGCGACAGCACGATGAACAGCGTGAGTCTGCGCTGGAGTGCGGACTGTGTTGCTCGAGGGGGGGTGATCGAGGAGGTGCAGGCGATCTGGTGCGAAGGCCACGGCAGCTGCGATGATGCAGGCAACGGTAAGAATACTCACGGGTTTAAATGCAGTAAGAGACTAAAGCAGAATCAGTATTCGAATGCAATTCAGGAGCATCATGATTTCTGCATTTCGCATCTCAATCCCCAGCTGAGACATGCTCCTGATCGCCCTTTCCCTCTCTCTCTCCCTTAACCCTCATCCCACTTCGGCCTTCGTGCCTCGCGAAGAAACCCCCATGAAGAACGAGAGCGACGTGTTTTCGGGCGTCGTGGTGCTGGACGGCCTTCGCGAGGGCTCGGACTACGCGACGAACCTGAGACTCAAGTACCGAGGCGGCTTCTCGGGATGGTCCTCCCCGCTGCTGTTCTCGACGAAGTCTTCAGGTAGGGACACGGAGGAGTTCTACGGCATCGGTTTTGTAGAAAGCCTTGATTAAGTTTCCTACAGAAAATCATCTGTCTGTATTAGCAAATATGATTATTGTCACCTATTTTCTCTCTTAGTTCTCCCGACGTGGCTCATCGTCATCATCGTCATTGCGGCTGTTGCAGTCACTGTTGTGGTCCTCGCCGCCGGCGTCTACAGCAGGAGGTTTGTGTACCAAAGTCACAAAGTTAATGATGCCTACATTTCGAAAAAAACAAAGTGTACTAGGATTTTATATCGAAAAAATATCAGCTGAAAATGTTCAGGTTGTGTTTGGTTAAACACGCATCCTAAGTGAGGTTTTATTTTTTTAAATATTGTTTAAAAGCAGAGAATGTTCTAAGACAAGATCATGGTTTTCGTAAAGCTAGACGAACATGATCTAGGTTTACCATCAATGTAACTACTACCTATTTAAATGGATTATCTCAGGTTTCACAATGGGAGTCCAAATATCTCATTTTATTAGACTCCCTTGACAAATCATTTATGAGCTGTTCCTAGAGATGTGCCTGACCGCATCAGCCCATTCACAAATTATCTAAGGCAAATTTCACCCAGTCATTGAAACGTTCTTCCTCGAAAACATTTTCCCAACGACAGGAGAATCGAAGTCATGGTGCGAGAAGTTCGGAGGGAGATCCATCTACCCGAAGGCCTGGATGATCATCACTTTCCCAGTGGAAAAGCAGGCGAGGTGTGTTTGTGTGTCTTGTTATAAGCCATTTAAATATTTCATTCATTTTTTTTTCTTTTTTTTTTTGTGAGTAATGGACTGAAGACTATTATTCATGCAAATCAGTATATCACTCTGAAAAAGTCGTCACTCTTTCTGGGCATTGTTTATATGACAATATAATAAGCATTATATATATATATATATATATATATATATATATATATATATATATATATATATATATATATATATATATATATATACATATATATATATGGTTCTAATAATCTCTTCGTTCGTTGGTGAAACAGATAGATGTTGACGTGCCTCTTCGGCCAATCGACGTGGGCGACAGTCAGTCCAACAAGAATGTATATGTGGTGTCATCGCAGGTGTTAGTATCTTACTTTTAATTGAAAATATATTGAATTACATAAAAAATAATATCTTAGCCTCTAGGCGATTAACTATGCTATTTTACTAGGCTGCCAGTCGACAAGATGCATCTTCAGTCGCCATCCTCCGGAGACCGAAGTCGTGCGCAGAACAACACTGAAGAAAGAAAACTGTTTGCCCAAAATGGCTACGTTCTTCCCATGTTCACTACCGACGTCAGCGACGATGGTCAAGGTAGAGTTCACGAAACTAATTACATCCCCGTATTCACTTCTCTTCCTTCTGGTCATGTTGAGAACTGTTATGAAGGATTGAAAGACCCTAACCCTAGATATGTAGCAATTGTACCTCCTAATTCAAATGTTTGCAAAAGTTCAAGCATGAACATAAATACGGATGAAGAGGGAAATACTCATACACAAATCTGGCAAGGTTCAGAAGGGATCATAGGACAAGGATGAACGTGGAGCATCTCCCGGCTATGTTGTTTTTCCGACGAAAGAGTCACGTGATTCAGGAGTGGTCATGGATAAGGGTGACCAGGGAAAATCGTCTATAGGTTATGCTTCTCTTCAGGTAGTTGGTATGGATACACAAATTTTCCAAACCCTAAAAGAGAATACTGATAGAGATGGAAAAGGAATATCTACTAACTTTGTAGCTTTTCGAGCTGGAGACTTTACTACACAAATCTCCCATGGTTTAAGAGAAAACAGTGTTAGAGATGAACAAGGAAAATCATCTGGTTATATAACACTTCCAGCAGCAAACTCTGTTATGCAAACTTCCAATTGTTCAGGAGAGAACAGTGATAGAGATGAACAAGGAAAATCCTCCGGTTATATAACACTTCCAGCAGCAAACTCTGTTATGCAAACTTCCAATTGTTCAGGAGAGAACAGTGTTAGAGATGAACAAGGAAAATCATCCGGTTATATAACACTTCCTGCAGCAAACTCTGTTATGCAAACTTCCAATTGTTCAGGAGAGAACAGTGTTAGAGATGAACAAGGAAAATCATCCGGTTATATAACACTTCCTGCAGCAAACTCTGTTATGCAAACTTCCAATTGTTCAGGAGAGGACAGTGTTAAAGATGAACAAGAAAACTCTACAGGCTATATTTTTTCCACCCACTGATTTTCGCGAAATATCCATTAAAAAATCTCCATTCCCAAGCTACGTAGCTCTTCCACCAGTGGGAGTCCTCAGAGTTCTATTGGCCTGGGGCAGATAAACAGACTTGCAGCAGAATCAAAGGCTCATTCAAAACAAGAAGCAAACAAACGAGATTTAAGTGTAAAGACTGGAGCTTATGTGGCGATGGATTCCTTTAAAGTACAAAACTTAAAGGGGGAAACAGACGCCAAGCTTTCTTAAGCTTTATGTCTCCCTCGATGTCACTGTAAATTAAATTACTTAGTGAATCATGATTTCTCATCAGTATCGATGGGAATCACTGCATCATTTTGTACAGTGTTGTTCGGGGATGCTGGATGATATTTAAATTGGCGGTTATCTGTCCATGAAATACTTCTTACTGA